GACACAAGGATTTTCTGGCAAATGAAATCATACCGTGGTAATTCTAAAACCGTATCGACTCCCCTGACGTAATTTGCAATAGGCCAAGAGGGGGCTTGTTGGTAAGTGGGATTTCTCGAAAACATCGATGTCAACAGATTTTGAGCACCATCTGTTTGAGCCGCTTGTGAATTTTTTGCGAATTTCATTGACTCGCGTTGGACCTCCTGTAGAACAAATCTACGCACCTCGGCCGTAGGCAAACCAATGGTTAATCCATGACGCAAGTTTTCTAGCGTCAGGTCATATATAACATCTACCGTATCATAACACACAATGTCCAAATATACATTGTCATCGTCATCTTCAAATGCATTGATGTGATGGAATCTTGTTTAGGAAAAAGAAACCATAAAATATTTGTTAGCACGCGGATCACGATGAGTAAGTATAAATCGTTTGACACTTTTACCTACGCGAAACAAGGGTCTGATTTATACGTGACGACAAGTTCTTTCTTCTCCCGGGAGATAACGTAAAATAATGTAGGCTCATTCGGTTTGAATGTAAACGTATCCAAGATGTTGTCCGACCACTTGACACCGAAACTAGCATTTTTAACATAAAACGGAAAGATCACCTACCAATTATTCGAAGGTTAGAAAGTTCTTTAATGATTAAATAAATTTCTTCTCTTATAATGTAGTAGCAATATACCAAAATGATGAATCCGGGCGTGACCCCAAAGCTATGAACATAGGATGCTTTGGCCGTAATACTGGCAATTAACTGACCGCTTGGATCATCTTCTGATATTGAAAAGAAATTATATTTGGTTCCCAATGGTGCATACTCCATGTTGAAGTTGATTAATTCGCCGGTGGTCTCATCATAGTGTGAATGAGGAGATGCATGATCTCCACGAAATAACGGATTTATTTCGTCCCAAGAAAAAACTCGAGTAGGGGTTAGATCATGCGCATTAAATTCTACTATCTTGAATTCGCAAAAAAAAAAAAGAGCCCCCCCAAAAACTTATCAAACCATTGAAAAGCAAATATTTATACAAGTCAGCAAATTATGTGTACCTGGCTAGAATGATTTTGACAAAATATTTTGGATTTTCCTCCTGGAAAGTTGACGTTGATACTGGCTCCACATGACTCCTGTTCTGGTTTGGTGGCTCTCTTTTTTCCGAGGAACTTTGTTAATGGAGTTTGGCTGCACAAAAATCAATTATTAGTATATCGAACAGTATAAATGACATCGGAAAGTATTGTGCATTACTTTGTGTTAGTCTTTAACAATGAAAATGGATGTCTTGTCACGATTCCATGGTTGTCGCGTATTTTCGACTCGTACTTTTTACTGGTAAGTCGTGAACGATAATTTATTTTCTTCCCTGCGCCATCTAACGTAAACGAGTTTACTAGCGGAAGCCTGTCGGATCAAATCAAGAAGTGAGATCAATCTACGTATAACCGATTGATCGAGATCGCATGAGGGCTGACATAAAAGGTTATTATTACCCGTCAAACCAGTGACCCATAGAGAAAGTCGCAGTTCCGCTTTCATAACCTCCTTCCACCTCAATCATCCTATTGTACTTTATATCAAAAATCCCCGGACCAACCGTGAAAAAAGTTCCGGACAACCATTCAGGCAACTTACCAACGACTGTCAGATCAATAGATTCAGTCGTTTCCCTGCCGTTAACGAATCCCTTTGGATGAAAGTTTTTTAAATATTATAAGAGATATTACGAACTGTCACATTCGGGAAATATTTACATACTTTGCGATATAAAACTTCCTTTGTGGAAGAAAATATTTCGACTTGTACGGTTCCATCGTCAGCGATAATTCTAGGCGGATCGGGATGGGTCATATTGTTGGCGGGTATCAAAGTTCAAGAGCGAAAATACCGGTGCAAATAATTTAATAGAATGATGTGATAGGCATCAGGTGATAATCTGAGATGTTTAGAAAAAGGTAGATTGATTCTTGTTAAGCTATAGATGGTGTAAGGTGGCGCGTCTTGGCACAATTACATCAGAGCAATAGAATCCCTTCATTTAATGGTGTATCGAGAATACGTACCAAGCTTGTTATGATCTCTCGCATTTCCTGTATTCGCGTCGTATCTTATTTTGGACAATAGAACCTTCAGCCCATGTTTCACGTGATTTTATTGCAAGTGTTATCAAGTTGTTTCTATTTTCATTTTAAAGTAGATTGTAAGGTGAAAGGGAAGTTCAATAGATAAAACACGGTAGAGGAAGGCAAGTCCATTTCTCCTAGAACTAACCGTTGCAAACATGCCACATTTTTTTCACGCTATCAATATGGTTATTTAAATAATAAAATTCTCAACCATAATAAGGTTTTGTTCGATGAATTACAGTAACTATTCTTGAGGACGATTTTAATAATTCCGTTACATACAATCCTTTTGGTGAGGATCTACGAAGCACGCTAAACTCGATCTTCTGCGCCTTTAGTTTCCTTTCTACCGATTTCAGGTGTTTCCCCTGCATCACTTTAAATAAGAAATGAGAGGATTCGATATACAAATGTACTGTATATAATAAAGAAATACAGTAAATACGTAATTAAAGTTATAATTTACTTGTATATTAATATCAAGTGACATGGGAATAACTCGTATGCGTTCATGATTTTTTGAAATCTCATTCAACCTGGATATTGTGCATACAGTATATCAGATCAAGTTTTTTTTGGAAATACTGCGTGTTTTAAAAAAATCTAATCTTGACATGATTTATGTCATATAACTTTTTTTTCGAAATTGCGATGGTACAATTAATTATAAAGTAGTTAACTATGTTAGAGGGGTTTAACAAAATTAAGTCCGATTTTATATATTTTCTAATCATATTTGGTTTTAATTGTTTTGTTGGGATATTTTTTTATAAGAATCAAACCTAATGATAATTTTATCAATTTTTTTCAATTATATACGTACAGTATATTATATTCTTACAAATATAAGGATTTTATTTATAAAATTAATTTTATATATTAAAAATCCAACTTTGAATAACTTAAATAAACCAGTTAATATCTTTAATTCCTATATTTACAGTAACTGGTTTTAAGAGATTTAATAATATATGTATATTGTATTATTTATAATTATTACAGTTTACAATCTTATATTATTTTATTAGAACTAATAAACAAGGTCAAGCCAGCTATTTAAAAATTTTTTTGATAAATAACAAAATAAAAATATTAATATACAGCACATATATATACAGTATATATAAAACAATTTAAAACTTTTAAAAAATTTTTAATTGTATCTATTAAATCTTTTTAAAAGAAATATTTGATTAAAAAAATTTTTTTTTTACTTCTCAATATTTAAAAATCCAGTACTTAAATTTAAGACTTATTTAAGATTATTTGAAAATTTTCCTAATAATATATAATGTAAACTTATTTATTATATTTATTATATCAATATTATATTATAAAAATTTTATTTGACTAAAATATGAAAAAATTTATTTTAAAGAATTTTGTATAATAAAATTAAAAACTAAAAAAAAAATCTTGTTTTTGTTCAATATATCCCAAAAATTTATAATAAAAATTAAAATATACTTTAATAAAAATTTCTATAGTTTATTTTTTAATATTAGAATAATTTTTATAAATTGAACTTGTTTAATTAAAAAAGATGATTTTATAAAATTTTTTTTTTTTTTTTTTTTAAAAACCACAACTGGTATTAGATGCGAGCGCCTTTTATTAAGTAATAACTTAACGTGTTGAATATTGAAATTCTTTAGGACTAAACATCAATCATCTCATACAAACTATATATTTCTATATACATGCAAATTAATGATAACTTATCGCGATTTTCTTTAGGTGAACCTGTTTCCACTCTGTGAGTGGGTAGACCTAGCTAGGAGCCAAATGGTTAAATACACAGTCATAAATGACAAAACAGGCTACTCTAGCAGTGAGCTTTATAAATTTTGTGTTATATTTGCTAGACTAAACTGTATAGTATATACCCGACAGGATTTAGTTTTACTCTTCAATACTCCCAGAGATATTTTTCGCTTAGACCTTGGAAGGAGGCACTTTGCCTTCTTTGTTACCACCTGTGACATCGGATCAGCCCGATTTGGCTGATTTTCATTTAAGCGGAGTGTCATATTGGGATATCCTGAGCTAGGAGGGTGGATGGGTTAAAGTATAGGTCATGGGTCTTTCCTTGCTAGGGGCCTCGGTTCTAATAAGGCATAATCAGTCTGTGCCGATCTTTTGGAAGGGGTAAGCTGACCACAGTTTTTGGTGAAGTTTGGGAGACAGTTAAAACAAGAAAAAGTCCCATAGTTTTTTTCTTGAGTTTTGGTAGTGGTGATATTATCAAGTATCCTTTTTTATGAGTCAAGTTCACCAACTTGTCCAGAGAGAAGGTTTGATATGCCATGGGATTGATAAAATGGTTCGATAGAGGAAGGAGTAGTAGGTCTAGGAAAAAAACCTTGGAAAAGGAGAAAGCTATCCATTGGCAGGAAGGATATAAAACGAGGGGGTGAAAGTAAACGGGAAAAAAGAAGAGATGGGGGAAGTTTAAGGAGTTGGAAAAAACTAAGGAGAATAAAGGTATTTTTGTCTATGACGACTCAGTCAAATGCAAAGCCTCACTCCAGGAGTGTCCCTCCCCTAAGGACATTTCCCTTTGTCTCAGACATTTGCCATGTGCAGAGTGCTGATTCGCTCGCACTTCTCTAGACATAATACCTTCTATATATCAACAAGTCAGATAACAGAGCCTCATGTGGTATTAGCATATCTCAGACTTTGTCCACTGCATAGTTGTTATTTGCGTGTATGAAGTAAAGAAGGGGGAAAGGGAAAAGAAAACCTCTTAAAAAGAGAATTTTCACGAAGTAGGAAAGAGTTTTTTTCATTTTATAAAATTTTTTTCTTATATTAGTAATGATAATAATATATATAATATAATTAAAATTAATAAAAGTAAAAAAAAAAACTTTTTTATTGATCTATTATTTTCTTAAAAAAAATTTTTTTTAATAATTTTTGAAAAAAGAACAAATTAATTTAAACTTAGTAACATATCAAAAAAAAAAGACAATTACATAACTTTTTATAAAATATATATTTAAAGTCTAATAAATAGAACTATCATTAGAAAAGTATATACCAATTAAAAAATATATTTTATTTAAATACTAGTTAAAACTATGTCATTTGATAGCTAAATTATTATTAAATTTGATTAAATTTAATAATAAAATATTGCTGAATTTTTTTTTATTGTTATCACTCAATATATTATTATTTCAACAATAAAGTGGCAATAAAAAATTTGACAATAAAAAAAATTCAGCAATTAAAAATTGATTAATTAAAAGATTAATAAATAAATTGTTAAAAATTTATTAACAAGCATTAAATAATTTATTAACTATTTAACAAAAATTCATTAACAATTCAATAAAAGTTTGTCATAAAATTATTTATTAGCAATTTATCAAAAATTTGACATTAATTTATTAATAATTCATCAAAAATTTGTTAATAATTTATTAATAATTTATTAATTATTTATCGAAACTATTTATTAAAAATTCATCAACTATTTTTTAAAAATTTGACAATTATTTATCAAAACTATTTATTAAAAGTTTTTTAACCATTTATTAAAAATTTAATAACTATTTATTTATTATTTATCAAAAATTTATAAAACTTATAAAAAAATTATTTATATTTATAAATTTTTCAATATTATAATAATAAATTTATATATTATAGATTATATTAAAAAAACTCTTTTCATTGATCCTCAGTTTTCCTAAAAATTTCCTTTTTTAATAATTTTTGAAAATAAAAAAAGCCAGCCATAACACAAAAAAAAACTTTCAATAAAACTAGCAAAATAACAAGAAATAACTATACAAGACTAGTCTTTAGTACATCTAATCTTCTGACAACAAGAAGTAGAAAAGTACAGGCACACATTAAACCATATTTTATGAATTTTCTTTTTTTATAGAAGAAATAAAAATTTAAAAAAACTGATTTATAGTAAGCTCTTTGAGATCCAACCACAACTCTCCAAGTTCTCAGTCAGACCAATACAGGTTAATATCTTTCTTGATACCAGAAGTCCTGTAAACAATAGATCAAATCAATAAATCAGTTCAGATTCAAGATTTATAATATCTAGAAAGACATTCAAATCTCTTTTACTAAACAGTAAATAGCATCCAAATATCACAATAACAATACATAATAATTATTATGATACATAAAAAATAAACATGTTATTCAAAAATATAATAACTTGTTTAGGTATCAAATAGATAATTTAATTAGAACATGATTAACTTCTCAATTTCACATATTTCACTAAACTGTTTTGATAAACAATACTGATAAACTAGAATTAAAAGTAAACAATAATATATATTCAATTAAAATAAATAATAACATATGTATGATTAAAACACAATACTATATAAATATAAACAATAATGTATGTCTGATTAAAATAAATAAACAATAACATACATCTGATCAAAACATAATATTATACAAAAGTAAACAATATATTTTTCTGTGATATATAATTCAATATGACTATGAAAAAACATAAGTTAATGCAAATTATGAAGGCATATATTATAGATATACTGGTCCAACTATTAAACAAATATAATCAATAACAAACATTATAGGCTACACAAACTATTCACAATACAATATTTGCTATAGACAATATCTCAAATAGGGCTCTAAAAACAAGCAGATATTTGATTCTAGATAGTATTATTACTAGGATTCTAAATATTAATCAAACTATCTTTATCAAGGCCG